CAGAAAAATGATGCACAGGGAACAGGGTTGGGAATAAAAAGGAAAAGATGATTGCACTGTGTAAATCACCTGGCTATTGTGTGCAAGCTCCTGTTCCACCTCTCAGAGAGGAAGCGCAGGGGAGGAAAGAGGGTCAGGGAAGGGCAGTGGCAGTGATTGGGAGCAGGAAGGGAGACCAAAATTTCCTTATCTCAAACCAATGAGAGGGAGACAGCCAAGGTCTGTGAAATACCAGTATGGAATTGGAGAGGGCTGTTCTCTCCATCTCATCCCATGAGGACAGAAAGGCATTGAATCACAGCAGAGGAAATACGTCTTCACACAGTGCCTGGACTGTGGGACTCATTTTCACGGGAAGTGGCTGAAGCCAAGAATTAGTAGCAGGCAAAGTGACTGGCTGTTCTTCCTAGCACAGGGAGCAGCTGGAGCTGGGAGTTAACGCTAATGAACATTGATTCAGGAAATGGGTTGATGAGAAAAAGCAGTGGGGATTACAGGGAACCCTGATGGGGACGGAGCTGCTGTCTCTGTTCCTGGGAAGGATTTCTGGACCTTTCTCTGCTGTGTCTGATGGTTCTGGAGATGGGACTTGGCTTGATAGGGTAGGACTGAGACCATGGGTTGCTCTCTGGGTTTGATTCCCCTCCTGGGGTACCACAGGGCCCAGGCCAGGGGCTTCCCTGCTTCTTGGGGCTGCCTGGCTCAGGAATCACAGTGGGGCAGCTTTGCTTGCCTTTCATCCCTCCACATGCTGACTCTCATCTTTCTTCTCCCTTCTCCAGGGTCCGGGTCCGTTACCAAAAGAGGCAGAAGTTGCAGTTTGAAACAAAGCTGGGGATGAATTCACCATTTTAAACACTCCCAGCTTGAGTTCCCTGGAGCCAGGGCCACACAGACGCATCCTGCACTGGGAGAGTGGCTGCACTAAAGGCTCAGGGAGTTTTCCCTCACACATGCAAACCAGACAGCCTCCTTGCAAAACTACATCAGCACCTTCCAGGGGGCCCCAGGCAGGGCACTGCTATCAGGATCCCCCAGCAGGTATGCAGCCCCTCCCCAGCCTGCTAGGGTACTCTCAAGGGAGCCTGCAAGCTCTGGAGACTGTTCAGGCTGCTCTTCCTTTATTTATTTATTACTAGAGGTTTTTGTTAGTATCATGGTGATGCTGAAATGAAGTGACTCCTTCCCTCTGTGTGAGCAGATGGGCTTCCTGGACCTGGCAGGAGAATCTGGGGCCATCAGGGGGACATAGGGCTGCTGAAGCAAGAGATCTCTATTGAAACCCATTTTGTTTTTCCATCTCCGCGTGCTCTCCTGGATGATGTGTGTGTGCATGCCTGTGCGTGTCCTCACCCACCTCCCTGTCCCTATGTCCTGGGGCAAAGGAGCCATGTCTCTTGCAGCTGCAGAAGTGCTGGGTGCCAGGCCAGGACTGGAGCTCACATTCCCAAGGGGACACTGGGAAGGGTCTCTGGCAGGGTGCTGGGAAAGCCCCCGAGATGGCCAGGCTGTGCCAGGCCTGCCCTCTAGCGTTGTTGCTGTAGCCATATGCTGGCTGTGAGTGCTTCAAGAGAAAAGGGATAAGACAGGGCTTCACGAAAGGCTGTCCATGCTTGACCCTAGTGATCCGGTGCAGAGAGAGTCAGGAGGGCAGCTCTGCCTGCCTGCAGGGAGTCAGCATGGCTCAGCTTCCTCCAGTCCTGTTGAACCAGCTCTTATCTGCTTTAACAACTCCCAGAGAGGTTTATAACTGTCCTCATTTCTTGCGATTCGAATTGTTGTTCTGCTTCAGTGAAATGCCTACTTGGGAGAGCCATAGCTAGAGATAAAACCTGAGACCTGCCTATGCTGCCGTGGAGGTAGGGAGACGTCTTTCCAGGCAGGATATCTGCATCTTGCAGTTGTGACTAACACGGAGCTGGTGGACGGCTCCTTTCCCAGTCCTGGGATTGTGCTGCATCCAGTACTTCCTCTCCAAGGCACAGGGAAACCCCCTCATCATGTCTTTCTGTGATAGTGTTTGGAAGCCTCTCCCCTCCATGCTGCTCCCCTCACATCTGTTCCCTGCTTTTCCAGAGGTCTCTTCTTCATTTGACTGGGGAGAACCTTCCCCTGAGGCCTGCTGCAAACTGTGATTTGCCCCAGTATGGCACACGTGCTCTTGAGCTCTGACCAGACCCCAGCTGTACTGGGAAGACAGTTGAGGGGCACACAGGAGCACACAGGCTTGGCTACCAGAATATTTGCAGGGAGATATTGACTCCCTTCCTAGTTCTAAAAACTGGCTAAAGCTGGTAAATCCTGGGCCTGTTTTTGCTCCCGACATTAACACTACAGTATATGGCTGTTACTTCTCCTTTGATACCCGAGACTAACAAATGGCTGCTGGTCCTTCCCTGGCAGGCGGGGAGCTGGCTGGTAAACCCCAAGCTCTGCCCTGCTGCTCCACCTTGTCTTCCTTACATTTCAGCATAACTAGAGAGCACACACGCTACTGCGTGTCTCTAAGCAATACCCTTCTCCCTGCTGTGGGTCTGGTAGGAGAGCAAAGGCTCTGAGCTCTGGGGACAGATGGAAGATGCTGGAGTGGGGCAGCTGAGGGTGCTCAGAGGCCCTGGACCCTGTTCCTACAGCTGGAGAGTGGATGTTCAGATTCCATGCTGCTGGCAGGATTGCATGGGATAGGGAGCCAGCAGCTCACTGGGGAAATGGGGGGCTGCTCTCCTGCAACGCAGCAGTACCAGAGTGCGTCTGCTCACCTTTGCCAGCTAGGCTGAACTCGGCCTTCACTCCTCTCTGGGCTGTGGAGCTGCCTGGCTCAGGGAGAACAAGCTGCATCTTTCTGGGTCTTGTTTAAGTCACTAAATGCCAGCTCCAGATCTGTTACCCCTGGCACCTGAGAAATCAGCTTTTCTTTCTGATGCTGGGGTCAGCTAGCAGGTGGGATACGGTCTCCTCTGCGGCAGAGCTGAGCTGGAGTCAGAGGCAGCACCAAGCTGCTCACTGCTATCCCTGCAGGGCAGCCTTCCCCCCCAGACCTTAGCTCTTGCCCTGCACCACTGTTATAGGTGATAAAAGGCAGCAGATACCTGGGCTTCCTGCTGGCCACACCTTCCTCGAGGGGAGGCATCTCCAAGGTTTCCTTCTCTGGGTGATCACAGATGTTTATTTTCCTGCACCCTCCTTCCCCTGCTAGACTTGGAGGGAGCCGAGGCATATGAATGGAGCCTTTTGGGTGGTCTCGCCAATGCCACCCTTCCCTCGGCCACTGAGGTATCCAAGGGTCAGGTGCATGGCTTCAGAAAGAAATTTCCTACATCAAGATGTTTTTAAATGGTGTATATTTTATATTAAATTTTTTGGGATGTATGTAAAAATACTTGATTTGTATTAAAACTTGTAAATTGTATAAAAAAAAAACCCCAAACCCAGACCCACATGCATCCAGTGTATGAACGGCAATAAATGATTGTCTTGGATAACACACACGGCAAGAGTGGGAAGGAGTTTGCACCCAGCAAAGCGAGGAGATAAAAATGTGTATGGCTGCTCGGGTCATAGGGTCTGAGTTACCTGGCTCACCTGTTACAGGGACACAGCCCAAGAGAGTGATGCTCCTGGGACCCGATCCTGGCACTTTTTCCCACCTTCTGCTCAGCTTTGGGCAAACCTGTCCAGCTCTGCATGCCTCTTCCTACAGAGTAACAGTCTGATTACCTCACGGTCTCCTGGATCCCAGGCGCAGCACATGTGGTTGTTCCCAGGCACGGCTTCACTCGTGGCTGGTGGCACAGCTTGAAGCCCTCTTGGATGAAAGATCAGGGGTGAGCTGGAACAGGCACTGGGAGCGAGCACTGGAGAAAAGCAGCGTGGCGAGACGAGGAGGTCTGGGCTTCTTGTTCTGAGCAAAGCAGGACCTGGTGTCACCCTGATCACCAAGGAGGATGGAGGGTCCTTTGCCTGGCAGGTGGGGGTAGCTGTGGCTTCAGACGTGCCCAAAGCTGGGCAGTGGGACACTGGAATGTAGTGGTGGTCCCCAGAGCTCTCACCACACGTTACTACCACGGTGGTAATACTCAAACTGAACATTAACCTCGCTGGAGGCGCAGTGGGACTCTTACCAGGGGAGATTATCTGAGGAAACCCAGATCTTAAGCACTCAAGGGACAGGATAAACCTGATCCTCGATGAACTTCAAAAGGAGCAGGAGACAAACTTGTGCTATTTGACACGGAGGAGACAACTAGGCAAAACTATCAAAAGGGTAAAACATGCCCCACTGTTTAATAGAATTTAGTCTTAATGGATGTTAGTGGAAAACAAAACACATGATTAACACAAACAGAGCAGATGGTTTAAAATCTGTTGTCAGTCTGGTGATTACACGGGCTATTTTTTCCCCTCACTGTCTTGCCGCACGGAGCAGGTGCAGCCAGGGTCAGTTAGTCCCAGTTGCAGTGTACATAACTTACACACCATACAGTAGCTTCAAAATAGAGATCTAGAGCTTAAAAAATAGGCATTCTTCTGCAAAATCAAATGTTTTAATTCCCTTATTGATAATGAGAGCAGCGTGGTGCTGCCCTCAGGTGGCTCAGACAGCGACAGCTCCACCCCAGTGTCCTCTTATCCCTGACCCTAGAGTACAAGACTTGCGGTTCTGGTTAGTAAATATATATAATAAATCACATTTAAAATATATACATTGGGCTTTAAAAAAAACATTTACAGTTTATCAACACTGGAAAAAAATAACGGCTTGTCCCAGGTTGACCCGTGAGAGTAAAAATCAGTTTTAAAAGGTTTTTGTAAACCTTTTGATAAAGTGCCACTGGTTGTAGCTATTTAAAAGCAATCAGGTCCACAACGCAGCACTTGCCTGTCAGACATGGTCATTTAAATACACTCAATGTGATGTATAAATCAGAGCAACCAACTGGCCAGAAGAGAAGTTAACTGCCTC